ACGATCTTATTCATCTGAGGCCTCTAAAAACTTGTTTCTTTAACCCCAAAACTTGCTTCTTTCACCCAAAGGTAAATTTTCCTCATACTTGTTAGGTGTTAAAATGGCTTAAATTTTGCCTGGAAAGCAGCCAGTCCCAAGCTAATGTTGACAGGTATCTACTGTTTCTAGCATGAGTATCTGTAGTGATCTGCATCTCCCAATCATGTGCTCTTAAAAACAATCAAATACTTTGCTTAGATCAGTGTTATTCAAATTTGGCAACTTTAAGATGTGTGGATTTCTACTCTGGCTGGGGAATTCTGGGAGTTGAAATCCACACATCTTAAAATTGCCAAGTTGAAAAACACTGGCTTAGATTGTGGAATTTATACTTACAAAGAGGTACAGGTAATCATCGAGTTACGACCATTTGTTCAGCCACCGTTCAAAGTTACAGCAGTGCTGAACAAGGACTCACAAACAGTTCTTGAAGTTGCAGCCGTCGCAGTGTCCCTCTGGTGAGGTGAACAGAATTTGGGTGATTGGCCCTCCCTGCCAGCTTCCCACAAGCAAAGTCAATAGGTAAGCCAGCAGGGAAGGTCGCAAATCACTCAGGAAACTCTCCCCCACTCCCCGGCCTTTCTTCACTCGCATGTACTGCACCCTTCTTCCCACTTTTGCTTGCAGGTATGCACCTACCAGTGTCCTCCTTCCCAAGTCTTCCTACACTGACATGTGCTGCAGCACCCCCCTTCCCCAACTTGCGCGCGGCCTGTACCAGGCCTTCCAGGGCCTCCCCCACCTCTCTGTGGCACCCTCTTGCTACTTACCTGGGATTCCCGCTGCTTCCCACTTAAGGACCCACATGTCTTGGAGTTACAATGGCAGCTGGCACTGCCTGAATTGCCATCACTAAGCGATGTAGTCACATGATGTCATGCTTTACGACTGCATCACTTAGGGATGGCAATCCCGGTCCCAATTGCCATTGTTACTTGAGGACTACCTGTAGTGCAATTCCACTGTATCAATGAGATCTGTTATATAGTATCAGTGAAATCTGTTATATTTTTCCATTGAATATTTTTGCAGAATAACTTTAATATCTCTGAATTTTGGTTGTTAACACTAGGAAATTATGAATATTTTTGCAGCTTTAGATGACATTCTGGAAAGCCCTCCTCCGTTACCTACAGAGAAACCAATTGGGAACACATCTGGTATTGAAACTGGAAAACCCAATAACATCAAAATAATTAAAAAGGTAGTACATTTTAATTCTATCAATCAATCAGTCAATCAATGTATCATGTTAAAAACAATGAAGCCACAACATTGAACTATTTTAGTTCATGATTAAGAAAAAACTCTTTCCACTGAAAATAATTCTCTATAGAGACAATGTATGCTGTATTAACAGAAGTCTAGTAGAGGTATCTACTACATGCTTTAACTCTAGCTTTCCTACATCAAGCAGGAATTGTAGTTCATTTTCTGAATTCTTGGTTTAATGTCCTTAAACAGTCTTACAATGCTTAATAAGCACATTTCACCAATTGTGTACTCTCCCCCCCGCAAAAAAATGGTACAGATGAGAAAATTGGTAGAATGTTGAAAGAAATAAACTCATATTCCTTAGATTCCTTGAATTCAAACCTATCCAATTCCTGCTTAAGTTATTGTACTTGTCTTGCCTCATTTTAACCAACTTTCATAGACAGTAAATAATTCTGCTTTAGTTTTGTACTGTGTGTTATTGAATCAATCATATGAAAGAACATTAGAACTCTGAAGAATTTGTCTATTCCATCTTGTACTTTTTGACATTTAACCATGCCATATATTGAAGTGAAAGATTCACCATTTTTAACAAGCCCACATTGGCATGTGGCATGATTGGCCTGCTCATATTGAGGTATTCCTCTGCTCTGGGGTGCTTAGACCTCTGCCATTTAGAAGCATCAAGTAGTTGCAATGAAGGAACAACAAAGCAATCACTTAATTTCAGTGCAGGACGTATACCATTTTGAGCAATGGTGTATTGAAACATAGGCTTCAGTACTCTTTTCAGCATTAATCTTTGGAATTGTAAAAGAAGGCATTTGCAGTCCTATACAGTGGGGCAAAAAAATATTTAGTCAGCCACCAATTGTGCAAGTTCTCCCACTT